AAAATATTATTATAGGTCTATGTGAACCGGAAAATATACTATTAAATCATTTTATTTTATTATTTAAAAAATATGTATATACATGTAGGGTTCAAAAGGTTCATCCAACAAAATACGCATATAAAAGTTGGATCAGGGAAAATAGAAATATTGAACTACAAATCGCAATAAACAAAAACAAAGAGCTTATCCATTATCAGAAATGGGAACCATTAACTAATTGGTTAGATAATGGGTAAATTTAGATGTTATACCAGACCATTTTTCCTTTTTTTTTTCTTCTTTATTTTTCCATTATTATGTGATGTAATATTTTGTGTTGTATGTCCATTATTGAAACGAAATAAAAATATTGTTTAAATAAAAAAAAAAGTACAAATGACTATGGTGAAATACAATCACACTGATAGGCTTCTACGCGAGTTATTACCCACAATTCTACGGTACATTCTGATCATGTGACAATAAGCACTGAGTAGCTTACTCACGTCTGTATGGTAGAGACTTAAAATGCCTTGAGTAAGACTGTTGACCCTGTCTTTCAAGAGCTGAAAATAATAGGAAATAGTTTATTATATAAGCACAGATATTTATTTCCGTCACATTGTTGTAGAATTAATACAAACATATAGTCATCTTTACTAGCTAATGAGTGGACGATTTAAATGACAACAGACATTTGAACTAACCTAACTGTCTTAACAAATCCAAAAGCATCTGATGGTAGTAATTGGATTCACTCATGTTTCCTAAGGAAAATAAAAATATAACATTGTGTTAATCAATTACGATCCGGTTTGAACCATGTGTTAACACCGCGTTCCTTTGGCACACGTGACGTTTTATTAATTTGTTAATTATTCATAATCGTGGTTTATATACATTGTATTGAATATTCGGGGTATGAATACGTACACTCATGACATTCTAGAAATATAGATAATAAAATTATAAATATTCCAACATATTGGGCCTCATAGGGAAGTAAGTAAAGTTACTTTATAATCTGGGAGCGTCAGACAGGTATTGTTGTTCCACGTTGATTTCAATTGAACATTGAATGGGTCGATCTTATTTCACAACGAGTGGTATAAACTATTCGCTTACGTAGCTCGCTAAGTGTTGACTGTTTTACCTATGCCCGATTCTCTTAAATTGGAATTGAATTGAACGCCCAGCACTTAGTTTCCTGCACCGATTAAGATTTATTTCAATTGCTCAAGACCATCTCGATACTGTTTAGAAGCTTCAGTAGACAAGAACGTGGAAGGTTTTCTTTTTTTTTTTCTCAAATCTCTCCTCCTGGAATTCTTAACGGTTTAACCTCGCGCTTATCATATTTAATTGTTTAATAAAGCACTCAAAGACGTGAAGGGTGTCACTTAAAACGTAATATCGATTATTTTTCATATTTGTTAGGAACTATTTGTCACGCATTCTGAATGCGTCAATGCAAAGGGGAAGACAAAAGTGGCGTGTGCATGTTTACAATGATAAGAACTAGAACACTCGTGCATTAAGGTTGCTTTATGTTATATGTTGATTATTCTCGCCTCTTTATACTAAGTCCGAGATTGGTCACAGATTTCCAAGTTCAAGTTAATGAAGTTGAAGTAATGACGATGTGATTCACAATTGTCACGTCCATACTACGATAAGATGTAAACAACTGAAGAAAGAACTGTCCTTGTCAGTGCGTGTACATTTTAACGTGGTCGAAGGCATACGATGAGTTATGTGTTACACCATGACAAACCATCGAACACGTGGCATTTGCATAAGTATAGAAGAATCTATTTATAGATTCTAGTGTCTAATAAACCCATGGAGGTAAAAACAGATAAATCTGTTGTTTACCTCCACGAATAAACACATATGCATTATTTCCACGAACAATGAATGTTTTCCTCAGCATGGTTGCATGAACATTGATCAGTCAGACCTTACCTCCATGGTCAGACAGACACATGGAGTCATTTAGATTTGGCATTTAACTTGTTGATAACTGTGCAACGTGTGTTTGCATATTATATACCGAATAATAACTACACTAACTCAATGCGTGTCTATGGTAACGTGTATTGATACAATGGCAATAATACGAGTTGGTAAACAATATCGGGTCAAGTGACGCATGCGCAGTAGGCGGTACAATTTGGGGGAAATCCCTGTATTTTTAATGTTGACGTCATCGCTTTCACATAGAAACAATGTACTGTTATAGCGCAATTTCGGTGCAATCTGTAGTCATATTATATACAAAACAAGTAACCTGTAGATTACTGTGTGGGTAATATTTTTTATATCGATTTTTGTTGCATTTGCAGCAAATAGTTACCAAACAATGAGAAATCTATAGGATTGAATATACCCCACAGCTGGCTTCACATGCATTGTTCATAGTTCATATGGTGCTTACACCAGGATTTAATTACAGCACCTAGGCGGTATGTGGTTACAGCTTAATGTTCCGAGTAATCGCAAGAAATTGACATGACAATAGAAATTCATTAAAGACTGCCACTCCCGCATGCAATTAACAGCGAGTGAAATTTCTGGGATTGAATATATTTTGAAGTCACTGATGTAGGCAACGAATAACTGCAAGTTGACATAAAGACGAGGTAGTTTATTTAATCAGTGGTCAACTAGAGGCTGAAATT